AAAGGAACCAAATGGAATCAAATTCGCTCGAACGAATATCCTGTCACTCGTACTACTGTTCAAGGCCTAGCAAATTAAACGGCTCGACGATTGAAAGAAAAAAGAAACATAAAAAACAAAAAAAAAGGAACAAATGAGAGAGAGAGTCCATCATTCGAGGCAAAGATAGAAGACTGGAATGAAGAGGAAAGGAAAACCAGATGAAGTTGATAGCTGTATACAGTCGTCAACGAAATAGAATCAGCTGATTGTGTATAAGTGTGTGGGTGTTTGTTGCTGCTCTAGTCAAGGTAAAGACAGGCTTTTCGGCTACTAGGTATAATTCTCGCTTTTTTTTTTCTTTTTTTTTTTTAGACACGCTTGTCAGTGGCTTGTACGATCTATTCTCGGTTAAACCAGTGTCATTCGCTTTTAAAAATTTAAAATAAATTTTATTGCACTCGAAATTCACTCATTGACTTGCCTCTCAATAAATAAATCAATTTTAAAACAATATTGTGGGTTGTTGTAAAAAAAAGAAAGGTATTCCCTCGAACTTGTAGAATTTTTATTACTGCAGTAAAAATATATTATGAAATTCCGCATTACAATCCGTGACATTTATATTGCAAAGAAACGGAATAAGTAATAGGCGGTTTAGTAATGCGATAAGTACACGAGAGGCCCTCGTTTTTCTCAGTCGCGCATAATAAAGTATGCGTACACACACATTATAGTGCAAGTAAGAAACAGTAGTGGTGGTACAATATCGACAAAGGAATCAATGTGTCACCGTGTGTAATAAGGTATAAAACAAATATAAATTACAGCAACGATTTATTGCTCTCAGTAGTTTGGTATGATTTGCAGAGGTATTGTAGTAACTACACTGATATAGGGTTGCAGAGACCTAATTTCATAATTAAATTGTCATCATTGTAATGTAGCTTCAACCCTTAAAAAAAAAATATAATAACTTTTGTGAATACATTAGTTAAAATAGGAAAAAAACGATACCAAAGTTATTCCGAAGGAACTACGTGAATTTTTATTAATACGCGCATGTACTTCCTCCAGTACGTATACATGCTCACGTTGCCTTTCCGAATTTCACGCGTGCCTGGATCACGTTGATGCTGCCGATAATAAACGGTGCATTATTCGCTTCTGGCATAAATCACCTGTACTGCGCTGGTATGATGTTTGGGATTGGCGTGTATATACGCACGTATGTATAAGGCCCAGATATGAGCAACACTTTTTTTCTAGCCCTGTAGGAATATGAAAGCGATGAATAGCCTACTGCAAGGTGGGATTTTGTGTGGATGATTAATTTGAATCTTGATTTTTTGTTCAGGTAAAGAAGATCCGCCAAAATGGTTTTGTAGTGAGGTTTGTTTGGAATGTAATTATTTTGTAAGACTGTGGCTGACTCTACATTGGTGTTTACTACTTTTTTTTTTTTTTTTTTTTTTTTTTTTTTTTTTTTTTTATCAAAAATCACTATGGACTGCCAGGATGTCTAACTAAAAACTTTTTTTTTTAAAGTTGTTACTAAAATGTTGTGCACAAAAAAATATTAAAAAAATTATACAGACATGTACAACTACCAAATACTAAACTAAGTTTTTTAGTGTATGGAGAGTAGGAAAGTTTAAATAAATGCTGAATTGAAGACACAAATATCACAAAAGGAGTAAGCTAGGCACTGAAGTAGTCTAATGTTAACTTACGAGTCAGTGTACTCGACTATAGCTACTATACTGCTAAATTTTAATGAAGTAAAATCAGCAAAATAAACCAACTGTACCTCTTGACGAAAAATAAAGAATCACACGATCTCCTGTGAGTTATTGATACACCTATCTCCATGAAAATAGTATATCTTGGAACTTTGATATTTATTTCACATGATTACAGCGCAGGTATACGATATTTACAAAAGAGTACTAATTTTAATTGTAAAGTCTGAGTATCACCAAGCATCTTTTGTAATTTTACATAGTGAATCCGAGAAAAAAAAACTAAAAACAGGAGTTACTTCGACAAATAGTAATACTCTTTTTTTTTACGACCAGTTCGTGGAAGTACGAGCTGTAAGGTTTAATTTTTTTCAATTTTTGTCTTTCTACGGTTGTCATCCATGATATGAGTATTCTTTCTACCATCGATAGAATTATACCGAAGGAAATTTTGGAGACGCACAAATAAGGTCATGCCCAAACTTTTTCGTTTACAACCAACTAATCGAAGTGAAAAGTTTTTCTGCAGATTCTGGTGGCTTTCATATTTATTTTACGTAAGAGTGATTTGACTGTAAGAGTCTTTCATTCCGGTATAGATATTCCTGCCTATACGTTATTATTCTTATTCGAATGAAACACGAAAGTTTCAACTAATCGCAAACGCTACTTTAATCCAAAGTGAAATTAATCAAAGAGGAATTTTTTCAACAGACGAAAAAAAAGAAACAAGATCCGCATCAAAGAATCGGTAGAGTCACGAGCGCTCATCTCTATCGTTTGCTCAGCTCCTCTTTTCTCTACATCCGGTGGATTGGAGCGGCTTAGATTTAATTCCTCGCTGGTTTTTTTCTCCCTCCAGCCCTTTTTTTATGCTCTTAGCGAACCGAAAAGCGCACCATCGGATCGATACGCTTACCCATGCACGCTTGTACAAAGAGGGGGCGCAGCCGATCGCTGGGCTAAATACGCCGGAATTTCGCACTGCGAGTTTGTAAAAGAGGAAAAATAGTGAGAGAGATGTCAGTGATAGACATTGCAGGATGATTTCGGGAAAAAATTATACCTTGAAGTGATGGAAAGAGTCGAAGAAATTCCCTGGAGGCGAAGGAAAGTCTAATATCTATACCGTTTTTTCACGACGGCCTTGTATGAAAAAACATTATGAACGGTGGGTCTGCAAAACATGGTATGACTATCTGTTCTCATAATTTTTTATGGAGTACAGTGTTTGGTGTTTTTAGTAAATCTCCTGAACGAATGATGAGATTATCCGAACGATGAGATAAGCAGTTGTGATTTGAATTATCAGCACAATGGTATTGCTGAAAAACATGCATCATGTAGAGATGCTTGGGAAATTTTTTTCCAATAAAAAAAACAGAGTACACGTGATAGTATTGCGTATCTTATAAAGGTTAAACTCATCCATTCGCTATGTTGGAAAAGAGAAGACACCACTGCTTCCACTGCTGCTGTGGTATAAGTATCGATTTAACAGTTAGTGGGGTCTGAAATTCCGGAATTTCAGTCGTTGCCAGCCGTCAGTGTCGACGACGCATTGTGCGTGACCGACTAGTCTCTGAAAAGTTAGGGGATACATACACGCACACTACTCACGGGATTTGTGTAAGTATACACGAATCTGTGCACACGAGAATCAGCTTTTGTGTTTGAGGTGTGTTGTTTTGACCCCCCACGTGCACGTGAATGCTGATAGTGACTCGCACACTTTCAATCAAAGCAATCATAATATTTTTTTCGCGTTGAATTATTATAAGTATGTACAAAAAACATCTTGCCGACGTGATACATAATTATGTCAAATATCAGCATTCACAAAGTAACGGGATAAGATAACAAGCGAGAATAAATAACTCCGCAGCACATAATTTTCCTGATGAGTATACGCATACGTACGATCATCGTGACATCATTTTTGTTCAACTTCAGTAATCCGTATTCCAATTATAAGTGCAGGTACGCATGAGCGTATAAATCCGCCAAAGTACCACATTTACTAACCAGATTGTTATTTTATTACATATATTGCATAAAATACTGTTGTACGAAATTTTTCGAAAATTAATATGAAAAAAACACACACACACCCTATACTATCAGCCAACTATCCTTTGTTTCACTGCCAGACTCGTCATGGAATGGAAAGCAACAGTTGCAAACAAGGCTACACGTTTGCTCGTTTTCTATCGAACAAATCTTTGATTTGCCTTGTACTGTGGATCCCTAATTTTTGTATTCCTTGGTTAGAGCAGTGGAGACAAAGGATAGGGAATAGTTTGACGAAGAGATGAAAAGTGAAAGTTTAAAAAGGGGAACGAGGAAAGTTAAGCTTGGACAGATAGTGGCGGATAGATATAGTCACAATAGGGCGTGTTTTGTAGTAAACTCCAGTAAACTTGCATTGTTTATTTAAATTCTTTGATGGCGAATGTACATACTCATTCCCATGACAGCATCTATCTGTTATCTTTTGCTTTTCTTTCTCCTCTCAATTTAAGACTGTCATGCCAGGTATCTATGCGGATTTTTCAAACTCACTTTTTCAAATACACTTTTTAATTTAATCTTAAAGAATAAGAGTGACATAAATTGTGCAAAATCATATAAATTATGAAATACTGTGTAAGAAGGATGACCCATTTTTGTAATGTTTTAAATTTACATCGTGTACGAAAAGACAAGGATTAATAATAATCATCATATACTTGAATAAAATAACCAAAGTTTTTTATAACTGCGTGGATTTTCTTTTTGTGGAGCATAAATAATGTAAACAGGAAATATATTTTTTAACATTTTGTGAAAAAATATTGTCTTGCGCCTTTTTTTACTACCTTTTATAATCTCAATATCAAGTTTATAATAGATGATAAGCGATAGCATGAATTTAAACAAATGTCTTTACTGCCAGTGTATAAATAACCGTACTTTCAACAATTTGGGCCACTTGACACCTCGATACCCACAAAAAAAATGTTTCAGTTAGTAAAGCTGTCAAAATTTGTGGAATGGAATTTAACAGTTTGATTATAATAATTTTTTTTACTGGAGTAGAAATTTTGCGCTTTGATATATTAAACAAGTACAATGCGTGTGATTATTTGTGTTTTGATGCTCGCCGTGACATTGACTTTGTCAGCTGGACAAATGGTTGAAATGTTCCAGTAGAGATTTATAGACTTTTTGTGGCCATCTGAGCTAGAAAGAACTAACGCCATTCGTTCTGGAAGATACAATTCCAGTACAGTCACTCCCATGGATGTAGATGTGGATCGAGGTATTTTTATCATACCCTAATTCTCATGGATAAATCTTTTATAAGTTAAAACATATTTTTAAACTTTTTCCTGTTAGCTGGTCGAGTTTTCATGTCATTCTACCAATACCCTGGTGTACCAGCAACAGTGGGTGTCGTTACCAATAAGACTGGACCTTGGGGACCCTTGATCAAACCCTACCCGGACTGGTTGTGGTTCAAATCTGATGACTGTAGTAAAATACAGAGCGTCTACAGGATAGCAGTTAATAGCCATACCCACAGCATACATTTCCTAGAAAATAAGTTGCATGAATAATTTTTTTTCCGTAGATAGACAAGTGCAATAGATTATGGATCTTGGAAACTGGATATTCAGAAGTGACGGAGGAAGCAACCAACTGCTCAGCAAAGATAATAGTATTCGATTTGAACACAGATAAACATATAAGAACTATCAATATACCTAATGACGTTGCGAGGACTAAGGACGGAGAAGTAACGCTAGCGACTCCGATCATTGAAACTGAGGGACCACATTGCGAGCATACGACAGTAATATCTATTCTTCTTCCAATGTAATATATTTTATGTTGTATCACAAAAAAAGATTCAATGATTTTTTGGACTAGGTGTACGCTGCAAACGTGTTTGGAAAATTAATCATTTTGAAAGGCAAGGATGTGTGGAGCCTAGAACACCAAAGTTTCCAACCTTCCCCTAATAATACGCCGAGTGGGATTCTCAGCTTAGCCATTTCACCTAAATCTTTTCATGAAAATACCAAATACTTGTTCTATCGTCCACTAACCTCTACCAGCCTATTTTTTGCCAGAACCGACGAACTCAAATTTAGTATGAAAGACAATCATGTCAATTTCTTTGGGGCTGTCGATGCTTTGCCTGGTCAAGCTGCAGCCATGGCGTTTGCGAGTCAGGGTACACTTTTCTTTGGACTGATAAACGATGATGCCATTGGATGCTATAATCAATTCAGGGAACTCAATAAAACCAACTTTGTAAGTTTCCGCCATGTGATAAATCACGTTATATTTTTAGTTTAGGTTTCATGTACTTTTAGCTTGCATTTTAACATTTTTACCTTCAATTATTTCAGGGGTTAGTTGCTAAAGACAAAAAACGACTTAGTTACATTAACGGAGTTAAGGTGATTAAACCATCACTTGCTCATCCACAAGAAGAGCTATGGGTACTATCAAATCAATGGAGAACCACTACATCAGACACATTTATGAAAAACAACAGCATTAAATTCCGAGTCTTGAAGGGTACAGTCCGAAATCTCGTCAAGAACACCATTTGCGATCTACCTCACAAGTAGTGACTTAGACATTGTTTTCTTCACTGAATAATCTTTCTGCTCTTTTATCTAATGTCTGTGTGAAATCTACAAATTTTTCTCTTTAATTTTTTTGCTTATTAACGATTATGCCGAAAAGAATAAAAACATAACGTTATACTACATTTGCTATTATTTTCTCTAACTTGATGATATTGAAAATATAAATTACAATAGTCCAGACTCACGTGGCACTATGACGAAATTCAAATCTTTTGCTATTTGTTGCTGATAGAACTTTTGTTGAAAAAGTCAATGATATGTTACATGTTTTTCTTGAAAGAACGGAAATACTTGCTTTTTGGCAAAATTAATGGGATTGCATGAATTGAAAATCAAATAATCGTTGAAAAATTGTACGTACGTGTTTAGAAAATAGTATTTTTAAAAGCATTTAAAATATTCAAATTTGGCAAGAAATTATTATGAATCTCGCTACCTTTTTACAACACCACAATTGATATTGCATTATTGAACTTTGTTTCAAAGTTGTTGTCATCGATGTGCCATAGTTTGCGGAAATAAAGCTACACATCACCACTTAGGCTGTCCCATTCAATATGAAAAACTATCAAGCCGAGATCAGAAGGGGCGAGTATAGGAGGGCAACTCCTTAGACGCATCCTCGTGTACGAGCTGTCTTGTTCCTCTTCTCCTCCCCGACTCCTCTATTTATACAACGTCTCAGGACCTCCAATCCTCCACTTTTTGCCCTTCACCGGCTTATCTCACCTCCTTCTTTCATCAGTTACACATATACCTGTATGATCGTGGCCGCATAGCCCCTCCTCCCTCTAGTCTCTCTGATTAATTCCATTCGTCTTCCGCGTGTTTTTGCGGAACGCCTGGCGCTTGCCTCTTCTCCAAAGATTTACCGATGTCGGTCAGGTCGCCCTGGCTACCCATTCTCCGCCTTTTTTTTTTTTAATCCAATTTTTGTTACGGCAAGTGCAGCGTACACGTATATGAAGGCATCAACGCCGTAGATACCTTCTAAATTAGGTTTTCCAAAAATGTTGCCTCTGACACGGATAATGTGCTTGCCTACATGATTGCTTATAATATACAATCAAAATCTGTAACCGAGCGAATTATAAGTAATATTAGCAAAAAGAAAAGAAAGTTGACAAATGATGTGTGTCTCAAGTTGACGTGTTTATTGTGAACTGCGGGTGATTTTTCTATGTCCTTCGTTTTCATATTTATTTGTGAAATTTTACAGTTTTCTAAGAAATCGATCCTTGTAAACATTTACAAGTTTTAGACTGTAATGAGTAGGGCCAATATTTTCAATCCACATTTAGTGTGAAAGGAGTAGATAATTCAACAAAGCTACTGAGTATTTGTTTAACCCCTATATTGTTTTTGTCATTTGTATTTTTAGAAAGAACAATCAGATGTGGTTGTCTTAATGTCCAGACTCCTTTTTTCGATGTGAACAGTGCAGAAAATGAATTTGAATGTATTGTCCAGAAATATGAGCCATAATCCCTTGAAAAGATTGTATTAAAAGATTGAAAAGATTACATTATCCCTTGCACGCTAACCACTGATTGAATGACAACTATATATCCAGGACACCCTGATACAGCTTGAATGAAAAATAACAGCAATTGATTTTGTATCCACCAGGGGAAGAAAAGAAGAAGGTGGTAGACATATAGATAGATAGATAGATAGAGAGGGGGGGGAGAAACGTGTGTCAGTTTTATTAGCAGTTTAGCTCAGCTCTTCGTCCCCACGAGGCTCTACACGATGCGTTTGGTTAACTTGAAATTAAATTATTGCCTTGTCATAAACACCACCTCACCACCACACTTCTGACTGTACCTTGCCGTATCAAGTTGGTTAGCCACCCCGTGTTAGCAAGTAGGAGAACTATGATGCCTAGCGTGTAGCCATGACTTTAATGTACGTGTATTATATATACCTAACTAAATTTTTCCGTTTGTTTATTTCAACAATTTAAATAAATACTTAACTGTTAGTTTATGACAACAATTTAGTTTTTTTTTCTTTTATTTAATCATGGTGACCACTGTCCATGGCATTTCATTCATTCTTCCCGGGTGATTTGCTCGCTCATACTTTTCGATTCAAAAATACAGCTCTTCAGCTCCATTGCGACACCAAAAGATATAATCACGTTACACCACATTACGCGTACTATTTCACCCTAAAGTTTTTGCTCTGACATCCTATGCGGAACGGATTGTTTATTCGAGTTTTGCCGTTTCCAACCACCGGAAGCGTGGGGAAGGCGAAACGAAAGCCCAGTTTGAATTTGCTTGTGGTTTGGACATGGACGGGTTATTGCAAACTAGTACGTCACACAGAAGTTCCACGGGTTTTGAAACTTCCAAGCTTATTATATTTGTTAATGCTTAAAGAAGCGTTTGCTTTCGTAGTCAACTTTATCGTTCTGTGATGCACTCGGAAGTTTGAGCGTGATTGGTGTAATGAACATACGCCTTTATTTGATTAGATTGGTTTCTTCGATAATAACAGTTTAATACAATTTCTACATACGTTTTGCATTCAGTTGAAAGACTAACTGTGTACCGGTTGCTACCTTGCACGTATAGGATCATGTATAAAATATAGAAACTAAAAATTCATATTAAGCATATAGATCGAGTGCTATCCTTAACGACACGAGCAGCAAGGTAATCTACTGTATGGGCACTGATAAGAACGACATGGTGAATTGAGGTATTGATAGACAGGTAGAAAAACGATGAGGGACGAATAAGGGTTGGTCAGATTTCCATCGCGGTTGTATCATGGACTGGTCAGTTTCTTAGTATGCGTTGGCGTGGGTGCGGGTTTAGAAGGGTAGGATAGGCGTTGGACAGCTGTTGTATTGGGGTGTGGCATTGAAAGATGGGATTTTTGCACTTTTATACAACGTAGTCGTGTATGGTAATACCTTGAATGTATTTTTTGGAACGCGTGGTTTTCTTTCACAAGACACTTTATTCGCTTTTTCAACAAATTTGATATCGTCAAGTGTGAAGGAATTTTTATCAACCCAATAACTTTTTTTTTAATGATTTTTGAAAAAAGTGTATCGTTGATTTTCGAAAAAAGGACCAAAATTAAATATTATAGAACAATATGTGGGTACACGAAATGATGCTTCTTCTGAAAAATGTGAAACATGCTTTTTCAAAACATAATTCATGTCAATTTATTTTGATGCAAAAAGTTACAGTATAACAAAATGTTTCAACCACATGCATTAGCCTTAAAAAGTCACTTTCAGAATTATCGAGTCTCCAGGAAAACTTTACTTTTAAAACAATCTGACATCTTTTGCAATTCTTGAAGAAAAGTTCAAAGAGAATTTTGAGTTTGATCAACCGATACTTTGATTAACTTACGAAAAAGCTTTTGGTACATAAGAGATAAAACAAGTTTTGTCTCCTATGTAAAAACACAATAAACAATCTGTAGGCCAAGACGATTTGTGTTCACCAGGAATCAGAAAATTTATTCACTTTTAAGTAAATTTCCACTACCTGTACATCGGCATGCATTTTCAGTTTATTTTGTTCAAAAGGCATGGCTTCATAAATTTGTTCACGCCCGAGTATCGATGAAATTTTCATCAATGGATTTCGCGGCCGGCGCTAAAAGCCCAACCCCCTTCTCCCTCCTTTTGGCTTGCCCTCGAGCATTTACATGAAAAATTCGGGCTCGGGTATGATGTCTCAGAGCGTGCAATCCCGGCCCACTTAAATTATTGATGAAAATTTTACTCGCCCGCAAGCAGTGCAGCAGAGCACTTGCCTCATTCTTCTTTATTCAACCCTTCCATCCACTTTACTCTCTTTCTCCTACCTCGCTTTCCCACGATTCCCGTTAGTGTCAAAGTTAATATTGAAGGTGCAATAGTCGTAAGATTCCCAAAGTAGCTGGAGGTGCTCAAGCTTTATGTGAGTGTATTTTTTTTTTTTCATTCCTCCATCGATACTTTGCATTGTGAATCTCATACTATAATACTACATCCTTGGTATATTCTCCTCGTCATGTATACACTCGGCCATTATAATACCACGTCAAGTCAAATAATTTTAAATTCTTTTTTTATATCTGTTACGAGAGTTCAAGCCACAAAAAAGGGAAGATCATCCGTTTTAGTAGGAGGGCTTGGAGTTGAGAAAGGACAAAGCTAACTTTCTTTCTCTTGGCTTCTGTTAACATCTTGGGGGTAAATGCGCCACTTGCGGCTTCCAGTGCTTATTTATACAAAGTAACCAGCCACTTTGACGCCCTTTTTATCCTTATCCCCTTTGTACTGCTGGATGCATAAATTATATCTTTACTGTATTTTAAACGATAAAAGGGATCCCCTTTTTCTTTTGGAACATCTTGCATGCAAATTTTTTGGTTTCGGCTTTCGTTTTCTAGACCACCTTGGGGTACATTATTTGATACAAGAAATATGAAAAGTCCATACACAGGGGATTGAAGCATTTTCGTCAAACCAAGGAAAATATTTTTCCATACGAATTTTTCTAAAGTTCTGCCGCAACTTTGGTTTCCGTTCTTCTTAACTATTTTTCTATGTTCCCTCTTCCCATGAGACAATAGTTTGGACTCAATAAAGTTAATATATTAAACAAAAATAAAAGCACGAAATGATGGATGGTGAGATATATATTGGAGCAAGAAAAAAAAATAATACGAAGACTTTAAAGGATCCATATACAAGTTACGTGAGCTTAGGTATGTTGATAAGGACGTAGTAATACAATAAACATAGAAAAAGGCAATGGAGGTAAATTTAATAAAGAAAGACGTAGTAGAGATTTATCTGTGATAACATTTTAAATGATTAAGAAGACAATGTCATGGTAGCTAATTGTGCAAGTCCATCTTGTCAACAAAATGATACAAATACAGAAATATTGACAGACTTTATTACATGAATAGAAAAACACAATTATGAAAAAGCACAAACAAGGGGTAACAGAAAA